TTCTCAAGCCAGATAAATCTTATACTAACATTTCTCAAGTCATTTCGAAATTGAATAAACGTATGTCACATCGAATTCGTCGGTAACAATAAAACCGGGCTGTCATTCGCGTACGCTAGTAACGGGATCGCGGGATTATCATCATTACCGTCGTGAACGTCGTCATCGGCGTCATTATCGTAAACGTGCGCCGATTGCGGTTTAACGGCACATGCAACCCTTCTCACGCGATCCGGCTTCAATCTTACGAGCGGATTGTCACGCGGATAAGACTAAACGCGAAGCGAAGCGGATGATGTATGTATGTAAAAAAGTGGAGATGACGTTTTCCTTCTCTCGCTCAATTTTCGCGCGATAAAATAATTCGTCAGATTTTGACAGCCCTGAAAAAAGATGCATTTTTCGCGAACAGTGAGAACGGTTCGTCAACGAAACAGATACATCCGATGACCGAGGGATTCATTTTTTCAGAAGATAAAATCCTTCAAATGGATTTATGTGCAATAACGTTTCTCTTCGCAATCGCGATGAGTAATGCATCTTTTTTCAAATGACAAATAGATATTAATATTGGAAAAAAAAGTCAGTTATGAATAAAATGTGTAGACTGTTTTAGAAAATTCAATCTTCTGCAAGTGTTCGCGATTTAATGGCCCATAGTGAACGTGATCAATGTATAATGAATCTCTGACGGCTAATGGAAATGCATGAGTCCATTAGTTTCGCACTTTTAGCTCGGTCGTGCATCGTCCAGTGCAACATCCTGTCAACGACAGATACACGCGGCATAAAGGATAAAAAAGAATCGACTTGCGTGTTGCAGTATACGCAAACCACGCGCACAGAGTGCGTCGTTCTTACTAATGGCATTGGCCGAACGAGAATATGTTCATAATGCACATCCCTATAAAAAGCTTTATGGCGAGTGGAACATAAAAAAAAATAAAACGAGAGAGAGAGAAGTGCAGAATCGAAAATTAGGCAATATAATATCGCTCGCTTGAAACGTATCATTTGCATTCTGCAAACGTGGAATATTCTTTCTCTTACAAAAATATACAGCCACAATTTGCATTTTACAATCTCTAAAAATGTCTGCTTTAAAAGTCCCGAGATGTATTTCTCAACTTAAGGAAGAAATTTTTGCAAAACACTATAATATTTACAAAATTCTTACAAAAGCATTCGTGTATTTGGATACAAATAATCTCATGTGTCTGCATTTTGTTAAATAAATCTATGTGGTAACAAAATGATAAGATATGCTATAAATTATAAAATTGCATGTTCCTCAAAAGATTAAAAAAATGTCATTTATGTAACGTTGGCATGCTATACTACTGTCATATGCTTTCGCGTGTAAGTATATTATATCTCACGGCAGAATTTAATGAGGTCCTCCCCCGGGAGACAAAAGGTGAATTTCGCTTTATTACAAAGAGTTGATGGTGCTCTTACGCCGATGCGAAAATTACCTTTGATATTTCATCTCTTTATTTAATAATATAATTAATTTTTGTTCCTGCATATATCAGACATATGGTCATCTTTTATCTCGCTTATCGAATATTGCAAACTCAAAAAATGTGAAATATGTGTGCACCGCGAAGCGATAGCGAGATTTTAAATTTTTCATTCATAAATATATTTTATTATATTTTTATTAATGTAATATATATATATATGTATATACAATTGTCTATGAAACTTAGATAAAAGCTCTAAAAATAGATCATCGTCAAAAAAAAAAAATCACTGAAATTTTAATAAAAACTTAAATCTTACAAAGATACAAGTAAAGTGTTAAATAAGAGTAAAATTATTTATCAAAGGGGTAATTGAAAAAAAAAAAAAAAAAAAAAAAAAAAAATTTTTAAATCCCAATCAAATTCCATAAGAAGTCCCTAATTTTTCAAAAGTGGGGAATTTTAAAATTCCCTGAAAATACGAGACATGCCGCCACCGATAAAAATCGCTTCTATGGTGCGAGCAAATTTCCTATAGCTACCACATTCCCGGTTTTCAGTTATGTGCACGTGCGAGAATCCGCCAAGCCTATAAGCTTGTGCAAATGCGCGTGCACGCACGTGTCAATGCGCGCACAACACTTGGTATTGCTGCACATGAGCGAGACAGCGTGACTGCGCATCTGTTTACCCAGCCGCGACTGTTAATTTCATCGGTATTGAGCATATTTGTGCGTGTATGCGGCGTCTACCGGTGTCCGACGTTAAATGATTGGCCAATCCGTGAGGTTAAACATTGACTCTGTCGCGGGTGTTTCGGTACATACAATCGTTTCCTGCCACTTCCCTGTCTCGCTCTTTTTCTCTCTTCATTTCGCTGGCCTCACGTGATTTTTGCAATCGTTAAAATCGTAAACGCGCAATTTTATTTTATTTTATTTTTTTTTTTGCAGCACCGAGAAGTGTCCGATTATTTATAATCTCCGAATCACAGAGCGAAAAGGATTCTGCGTTTGACATATATCCTGCGATTCTCGGGAATAAAATGACCTTCCATTATCTTGAATCGCTATTAAACGTTATTTCCCTCTCTTTTTGTCGGGAAAAATTCTCCCGAAATCACGGCGAATCATATGAAAGTTCGAATATGGAAGGAAAAAGGGAAAGAATCTCTCAACTATTAAATTACATAAAATTACGACCGTCTGCGGGGTTTTTTCTAAAGCGTTCTCCTATCTTTCCGAAAATCGTCGTCGATCCTTTTATCGCCTGCCCTACGCGATCCCAGAGAGAAGACCTCGAAGAGTTATAATTGCCAGCAAGTAGAGAACGCGGAGAATCGCCGTCTTCGCCGTCCAACGTGCGCTTTTTCACGATCGGTAAAAGTTATCGTTCGTTATTACTCGCATTCCACGAGTTGGACCGTAATTAGACCAGATGTCTCAAGAATTACGGCGGTTCGATGCCCAAGAATGCGGCAGAAATGTGCTTTCCGTTCGATTGAAAATTGCTCAAAAGCGTAAATATCGAATACTCGAGGTATTCTTGTTGTAAAATACAATGCAGGAATTACAGCTAGCCATCGATTCACGTTGTCGCACGTTGACAACCAAAAATAGCAAGAAAAATTAGTAATTAATTCCATACAATTGATTGTTTTCTGATAATTTGACTTATTGTTAGATAGTTTAATATATATCGTTGTCACACCACGTTACAACGAAATAAAAATATTAATCCCCTGATCAAATTGATAATAAATGTTAACAATCGCGAATGATAATAACGGAATTAAATTAATTTCACAAGAAATAATAAATATTTTCGTCACCAAAGAGCGCACTTAAAAAAAACAAGTAAATGTTAAACATCGCTCTCTCTCTCTCTCTCTCTCCTGACAAATTAAATATCGATAAAGAACAGTTTAATTTGCCGTGTGCGGTGTGCAAAAGCATTTACGGAACTCAAGATTTCATTAGTAAAAGGGTAAACTTATCGAAGCCATTAGCTTAATGCCAAACTCGAGTTTCAAGCGCGATCGTTGTAATTAAATCGCGCGCGCGAATGCCTTTATATCGAGTACGAGTCTTCGTTTGCTCCTGAACTCATCGTTGTAATTAAATCAGACAGTTGCTTTTATATCCGCACCTGGTTGTAGCTAATTTCCCTCGCAAAGCGAGGACGGACGAATCTATCTATCTATCTGGTCTCGATCGCCAGTAATTTCATATTAAATAGCACGATGAATTGTAATCTAGCAGATGGGCCGATATTCAAATTGCACGTCAGGTAATTAATTGTATTATCCCGCAATCTCATCGGACATCTCATTAAATTCGTTTTTTAATAGAGTGCATCGACATTCGTTCATTAAGCTAGCAATAATGTACTAGCTATAGTCGAAGTGCAATCTAAATTTATTACGTTATATATTTAAATATATTAAGAGCGTAAAACCTATATATAATATATATATATTTATCTTTCGTAAAAGACTCTCTCTTTCGATTAAAATTGAATGGAAGTAGGACTTTTGCATTTTTTTTACGAGTAATATCGAAAATTATTTCTTGTTTAAATTTCATCCTAGTATTATTATATTAAGCTCTCTCTCTCTCTCTCTCTCTTTTATAAAAATATTTCTCTACACTGAAAAATCAATAAGAGAAAATATAATTTCCATTGAATAAAATATTATTCTTGTCACACACGTTCTCTTATAGTTTTTAAAAATATTTTTTCAATAATTTAATATAATTTCTATATACATTCTTTAGTCTTGATTAATTTATTAACTGTCAGTCTGATTAATTTACCTTTACTTCTTCATTTTTTAATTATGCGTGAAAAATATATTTCCTTCAAAAGTAATTACATCATTCCAACGTGGATATTTTATTTCATTCGCCCTTAATTAACAAAATTATGTTTCTTCTTTGAAACTGTTCATCGTATAAAGAAAACTTATTTTTCAAAAATACTCGCACGTATAAAACGACTGGGAATATTTCTGCTTCGCGAAGAATTACGTGGAAGACTGTACGCGAACTTCTCGGGTGTTCTTAAAATAGCCTGTCATTGAAGTTTCGACGCTTATCGGAGAGTGTGCTCAGCACGAGGGGTGTACAACCCTTCGACGAGGTCATTCGCGCGATACACAGAGGGCGGGTAAAGAAAGTATATAATTTTTTTCACTGTGGCCTTTAATGCGTTTCGCATTAATTAAACTTCAAAACACACACACACACACACATTTATATTTATTAGATGAAGATAAATTTAAAAAATATAGAAGATGTAATTAACGAGATGTAATTAATATTTGTCTCAAAATAAAATAAAATAGAAACAAAATATATTTTGATATACTTCTTACTGTAAAATATATTTTTCTTATTAGCATAATTAGCATTTTTTTCAAATAGAATAAAATAGAAATAAAATGTGCATTCATATTGTGAATCATAGAAATGTGAAGAGTAACAGAGAAATAAGCTTTCTTTGCGCATTAATGAAAATTCTGTCATTTTGCAGAGCATACCTGCAAGGATTTCCGATGCACTCAGAATGAATTCTGCATCGAGACGGATCTCCTTTGTGACGGTGTGAATCATTGTGGTGACGGATCTGACGAGGCCACCTCTACCCTCTGTGCCAGTAAGTTCTAATTACCGCGGTTTCATTTCTGACTGTCGACTCTTTTGAAAAATTTTATCCTCTTTATTTGTTAAGAATTTCAACTATTTAAAAACATTAATCATAATTTTGAAAATTATATAATTATATAATATTCGCGGTTAGATTAAATTATATGTAAAATGATTTAATAATCTCTACATCTTATGCTAGAACGATTTGATCGTTAACGATTAATAAATAAATATAAAAATTATTTATTTATATTTAATTATTATCTTTTTTATGTTTTAGATTCATCTACTACATTAACTGAATTATAATAATTTATTTTCAAAATATAAACAATTATTTTATGTATAATTTTAATGTTTTAATATTTAATTATAATAGTTTTATGTGTAATATTAAATTATGTTCAATGAATAAAATTATGTTTGGCATTATTTAATGTGTTTTTTATTTATTATTACTATTTATTATTTTGTTCATTATAATTTTATTAATATAATTAATAAATGTATATAAAAAATTATAAATTAAAAATTTATTAATAAAATATATATTCGTGTAGAAGATAAAAGATCATTAGAGATTTGATTAAATGTACCTTATAGCGTTTATATTTAAAAAAGCCTACTTTAATTCTCAAAATAACAAAGAGCATCTAGCTTCAAAGTAGTATTAAGACAAATTTTGTAGACTTAAAGATTTAAAGGAGGATGAGTAAACAAGTATAATATCATCAAAGTAGTATTACTAATCTAAGTGTATAAATCAGGTAAGGAGGTGCAAATTATCTTTAAAAGTGTGAAAGTAGCATCCAAATTTCGGGTTAATGTATTGCATCGCGTACGCTATTATTTCGGATGTTGATAATTAGCAGTATAGACGGTAATAATGTGCTAGTTAACATGAAATCAATATGTTCGCCATCAGGCCGTATCGTATATCAAGCAACTTTGTGCACATATCTTTTGAGACACGCTATATTTAATGAGCAAAGCGATTTAGATCGCGGAGATATAATCTCGCATGATTTAGTGCGGTTAGCCATGCTATTAATTTCAAGTATCAAACAGATAATAAACAGAGAAAATGCGAATTTCAGAAAAATAATGCTCTTTACGTCATATCAAAAGCTACTATCGCGCGAACAATTTTAATTAGGAATGAAGCGATTAAAGGAAATTAACTTTTTTTATATTCGTGAATCATATTTACAGAAATATAAAGACTCGAAATTTATTTGAAATATACAACACACGGCAATAATTTCGTTTACAGGAAAATTAATTTTCACGTAACTCACGAAGAAAGAGAATGCAAATTTTATTTCTTTCAGGGAATAAAGATAGATTTCATTTTCCACCCGATGGATAAAAACATGATTTATCGTCTGCTTGTAATGATAAAGCGTTAATGTTTTTTTCCCGATTTTTGTACTTACGTGGAAATTGTTACAATTTTGCGACAGTTAAATGCTTGCCAAATGCACGCGAACTGAATTAACATAATATTTATGTTAATGGCCGAAAGTACGCGCTCATCGACATATATCTGAAGAGGTTAATTGCCGCGTATTCATGACTGGTATCTATGCATAGACTCGAAATATAGTAGCGGAATAAATTACCAATTTGTCGCATAATACTCGCTTCCACAGAAATTTAGCACATTCTATTGATATTTTATTTAATTCGCCGTATTTTCCTTTCACGATTTTCGATTTCCATTTTCAGACGATTAATCGTACTATTTCACTGATATAGTAACAAAATATATGTACATATACACATATATTGGACGCAAAAAGAAAAATGTATAATGGAAAGTTAAAATAGATATTTAAATTTATATGAGATGTTCAATTAAATTCTAAAATCGAAGATATTTATTAAAATTATTTTTCGCAATAAAGAAAATAATTTCGATTTTCTAAGTATATAATTTATAGCACGATTTTCACAAAATTTTATACTTTATAATATTTATGAAAATTGTATTTTAGTTGGCTCAGCTATTTTCATCAAAATATTGTTTTTATACATTTATCTGATTCTGTGTATGTGTGTATATTTTGCGAAAGTTATATTAAAATCTTTGCTGCAGAATTACGATACAAAGTGAATTATGTGAAAGGTGATTTAGCGCTAAAATTATTTTAAATCTAAATATTCATATATTGATTAGAAAGAAATATACAAAATTTAGAGATAAAAAATATAATCTATAATAATAAAAAATTCTATATTTTAATCACAATAGATAAATATTAAAAATATTCTTATTATGAATATTTAGATTTAATATTTTTAGCGCTACATGACTTTTCACAATTTATTTTGTGCGTATTAATTGTGCAGCTATGATTTTAATATAATTTTCACAGAATTTATTGATCGAAATGTCGAAACGGCAATAATTCACATGTCTAGTTTTTCGCTATTGTTTTCCGCGAAACCACATATTGTACGATCGATTTATTAAAAATTTAATGCCCCTCATAAAAGTTTTTCTTATTACTCGCGTTACTTACGAGTATCGTGTCCTGTAACGGTAAAACATGAAGTATACGTCGTTATATCGATTTTCCGATTCGTCGAAAGTATACGCGTGTCGCGAACGTGTATACCAGTCTTCTGTGAAACTCGTTGTAAGTATGGCTATTTTATGTAATTTTTAATACTTCTCTTTTCAGCAAAAAGATTACATTTTTCATTTTCATTATTCATCATTACATATCAATATTCTTCTTAAAAGAATATTTCTGGCAAATAAAATTTTATAATTTCATCTAAGTATACTATATGTTAAATTAAAATAAAATTATTTAAATAATTATTGACATATCTTTTCCTCTTTAACTAGTTAAAATATGTTTTACTTTCCATTATATATTATATTTTTCATTCACATTCGATATATACATCTTACACTCATATATCTGTATATTGTCTTCATTATATGACTTGACTTTGAAAGCGTATCATTTTCATCGTTCATCATTACATGTAAATATTCTTCTTAAAATAATATTCCTGGCAAATAAAATTTTACAAATTTCATCTAAGTATACTATATTAAATTAAAATAAAATTATTCAAGCAATTATTGCGACATATCTTTTCCTCTTGAACTAGTTCAAATATATTTTTTACTTTCAATTCTATAATAAACGAAAAATATATAATATTTTTCATTCGCATCCGATATATACATCTTACACTCATATATCTGTATATTGTCTTCATTATATGACTTGACTTTGAAAGCGTATTATTTTCATCGTTCATCATTACATGTAAATATTCTTCTTAAAAGTATATTCCTGGCAAATAAAATTTTACAAATTTCATCTAAGTATACTATATTAAATTAAAATAAAATATTTCAGCAATTATTGCGACATATCTTTTCCTCTTGAACTAGTTTAAATATATTTTTTACTTTCAATTCTATAATAAACGAAAAATATATAATATTTTTCATTCGCATCCGATATATACATCTTACACTCATATATCTGTATATTGTCTTCATTATATGACTTGACTTTGAAAGCGTATTATTTTCATCGTTCATCATTACATGTAAATATTCTTTTTAAAAGAATATTCCTGGCAAATAAAATTTTACAAATTTCATCTAAGTATACTATATTAAATTAAAATAAAAATATTTCAGCAATTATTGCGACATATCTTTTCCTCTTGAACTAGTTCAAATATATTTTTTACTTTCAATTCTATAATAAACGAAAAATATATAATATTTTTCATTCGCATCCGATATATACATCTTACACTCATATATCTGTATATTGTCTTCATTATATGACTTGACTTTGAAAGCGTATTATTTTCATCGTTCATCATTACATGTAAATATTCTTCTTAAAAGAATATTCCTGGCAAATAAAATTTTACAAATTTCATCTAAGTATACTATATTAAATTAAAACAAAATTATTCAAGCAATTATTGCGACATATCTTTTCCTCTTGAACTAGTTCAAATATATTTTTTACTTTCAATTCTATAATAAACGAAAAATATATAATATTTTTCATTCGCATCCGATATATACATCTTACACTCATATATCTGTATATTGTCTTCATTATATGACTTGACTTTGAAAGCGTATTATTTTCATCGTTCATCATTACATGTAAATATTCTTCTTAAAAGAATATTCCTGGCAAATAAAATTTTACAAATTTCATCTAAGTATACTATATTAAATTAAAATAAAATTATTCAAGCAATTATTGCGACATATCTTTTCCTCTTGAACTAGTTCAAATATATTTTTTACTTTCAATTCTATAATAAACGAAAAATATATAATATTTTTCATTCGCATCCGATATATACATCTTACACTCATATATCTGTATATTGTCTTCATTATATGACTTGACTTTGAAAGCGTATTATTTTCATCGTTCATCATTACATGTAAATATTCTTCTTAAAAGAATATTCCTGGCAAATAAAATTTTACAAATTTCATCTAAGTATACTATATTAAATTAAAACAAAATTATTCAAGCAATTATTGCGACATATCTTTTCCTCTTGAACTAGTTCAAATATATTTTTTACTTTCAATTCTATAATAAACAAAAAATATATAATATTTTTCATTCGCATCCGATATATACATCTTACCGATCTTACCGATATATACACTCATATATCTGTATGTTGTCTTCATTATATGACTTGAGTTCGAAAGCGTATCTGGTTTCAAAGGCAAACTGGACACTTTCTCGGCCTGATTAACGATCTTTCCTTGTAATTTCAGACTCCGAGGCATCGACGATCCTAGGCATGCAGACTACTTGGTTCGCCGTCGCCCTTGTTTTTCTGATACTCAGCATGGGCGGTCTGGTAACGGCGGCGGTTCTCTGCTTTTGCAAGCAGCGTGTTCCTACCCCGAGGCACCCCCATAACGCGCACAACGCTCAGTCTCATCCCCCAGTCAGCTTCCCATGTGAGTCACAAAAACCCCCCTTACATGTACACGATCGATTCGCGTCGTTGGTGTCGTTGCAACCGCCCATAGTCGGTGCAACCTCGTTCGTTCTTTGTGGTTTTACTTCGCGCACTGTCAACTCAAAACACCGAGCAAAACTTTTTCGCTTTCAGTTTGCTCTAATGCCATTATGCTCTAAACGATTGCATTTCCGCGATGTACACGTGCGAAAACGAGTATATATAATTGTCGTGAATTTAATTATTAATATCGATTGTATAAATACTAAAATTGCGTACAATTAAGGAAAATTTCTATAACTTGTAATTCAGTCTTTTTATTTTTTGAAGAAATGTCAAAATCAGATGTATCTATACAACCTTTTTTATGTAAGAATAAAATTACAAAAGAAAGAAATTTGTTATCTTAGATTACTTTAAAACAAAGTCTAAGATAGCATTTTTCACAAATTAAAAAATGAATTAAAATTTATACAAATTTTACTTGTAAATAATTCGGGTATTTATACAAATATTGTAGAAATTACCAGATAAATATAGAAATAATACCTTGACAAAAATAGCTGAATTAATTGAAATACAATTTTGATAAAATATTGTAACGCGCGCGTGCTCTTCAAAAATATATTATGAATTATATACATAAAAATTGAAATCATGTTCTTTATCGCGAAAAAGAGCTTTAATAAATCTCTTTTTGATTAAAAAAAATTAAAATAAGAGAGTTTCCAAATTGAATTTGATTAAAACATCCTGTATATAAGTTTAAAAATATATTTCAACCTTCAATTATATATATATTTCTCTTTTACATCCGATACACTCACATTTAAAGACAATTTGCTTTTATTAAGCGGACTATATTAATAATTATGAAAATTAATTAATTTGATCTCCCAAAAATGATAACAAACGCATTTAATCAATTTGAGTCTAGCGGGTCGAGCCAATGATCAAAGGACGAACGCTCTCACGATTACAGCATAAAATATTTATTATTTATGCTTTATCGTAAAACATGCTATTATATTATCATCTTTGTAGAATAGAAATCACACAGACGTCACAGTACATTGTTGAAATTCTTTTTGATCAGTTTAATATAAAACATGTATATATCTGCATATTCGCCTTCCGAGCAAACATTTTACAAAATCACTTTGCGTACTAAATTGAAAATCGATTTGTATTTCACGAGGAAATAAGTCACCAGCGCAAACTTCGATAACCGAGTACTATGAACGAAGTGTTATTTAGCACATATATAATCTAGAGTTTATATTCCTACAATTTTCGTTTTTTCAACAAATCATTTATCTCGGGATTTTCTTGTACAGATGTAGAATGCAATATTTTTCTAACAAATTTATATGCAATATATTTTTGATTTTCAAACATATATATATATATATATATCAGATAAAAGGTGCATTACTTAATTTCATAATTGCATATTGGCTTCAAATGTAAAGTGTAATTACGTCTAATTTATTATGCACTAATTAATACGAGATACGTATGTTTATCAATCAGAATGCGGAGTTGTGGCTCAATGCCAGATTACGTACGATAATCAAGGATTGGTCCCGGATTTGGAATTATTACATTAGGATTACATTTACAAAATGTTACGTTATCATTGCGCCTGCCATTTCGCGTTCGCGTGCTGTTACTCGATTATGCTGATCCCATTCGAACACCCCGTATACGTACTGTATGTTTGCTTTTCATTTGATTGCATAGTGGTTTACCACCCTCCCTTGCACTTCTACACGTCATTTCGTACCATGACAACGATTCTAATTAATTAATTTAACCTGCAGATTTGACAAATGCATTCGGCGATCCGCATCCGTCAATCATTCCGCGTATATTCGCGGTCGACCATTAAAATTTATTTGTCGGATGGAAGAACATTCGCGCAGTCACTTATATTATTGCTTTTCGATTTTATTATTTATATGAAATTTGTATCGCGCGCAAACTCGCTCTTCCTTAAATAAAATGTCTTCCCTTGATAACGCACAAGCCGATTAAAAGTCACCTCAGAGTCTCTGTACAACTAAAGTTATTTCAAAATCTTTTATTGTACTACAAAATGTTTGGATTTTTCTTTCTAGGAAAATCACGGTTGAAACTCGTATGGATGTAATAAAATACATGCATATATTTAATATATATTTTAAAAATATATTTAATATATTATATTTAATATATTATATTTAATATATATATTTTAATATATATTTTATATAAATAAAATCTAATATATATTTAAATATATATTTTATATAAATAAAATCTAATATATATTTTAATACATATTTTATATAAATAAAATCTAATCAGATCAGTTTTCTTCGCGAATTCGTATCTATATACGACGAATTATTTTCACGCTGGATTAAACTCCCTCGTACTTCGGTATCATTTTTTTTCACGGTGCTCGATAACCACCTAAGGGTCTCCGAACGCTGCCCGGACAAGGGATGATCCCTCTCTTCATCATCGCAATCATTCCGCTCGGTTCCGAATGCATAAATAAAACGTGACGTCACACACGTCGTTATATACGACGACCTTTCAACAAGAGCCGACCCAAATATCTGCGGTTAGCGCTGAATTAATCAGCGACCATCGGTTAGATTGAATCTCGCTCGCCCCGTTATAATTAAGCAGCGAGATGATCGATAGACCGATACATTCTGTTGTGAGCCTCTCTCCCTTACAATGCTATTCGTTATTTATTTACGCGTAACTGTTACCGCGGGCGTTTGCGGCGGCAGCGCAGCGAAATTAGAGGGCGGAGATGACGGATGAAAAAAAAAAAAAAAAAAAAGAAAAAGTGATACGAGGAGGAAAAAAGCTTCCCGAACAAAACGCGCGTGGGTATATTTTCATTAAACGATCGATCGTCGCCGTTTCGGTCCGCTCTCGCGCTCGTTTTATAATGTCGTTTGGCTTTTCGCGATTTCAATCGGCGAAACGCGCGGTATCGCGATGTTTGCCACAATTCCGTCTCGAATGTATATCGTTGTTGTTTTTTGGCCCCGCGGTAATCGATAACAAATAGCGCGTGTCTCGCGGCTTGTTTCTCGTCCCGTTTGTTTATTGCTATTACTAACCGCGGAAAAAGGGAGAATGAGAAACAGACAGAGGGAAAGAAAACGAGAGAGAGAGAAATTGCACTCGCGTTTAAATTAGTTTAATATACGGAAGTCGAAACTTCTTCTATCTCTCGCGCTATCTCGGTGTGATGGGTCGCGCACCGGAAATTCGATTATCCGAAACAAACGCGGGACGGATAATTAATTTTGGTGTAGAAACACGTTTTCGACTGATTAATCGAACCAGGGTCTATCTCGGATAGCGAATAACTGATCTTTACGCGGGTGAATTAAGTTATATGTTTGCGATGTATTACCTAGTGAGATACAATTTATATTACTGGTTGTAGTGCCTCGATAATGCGAACGATAATTCACGTAGATGAGTTAATGCAAATTATACTGGCGTCAAATTACTCTCTTTACGATCGATAGCATCGAGACGTTCTCGTGTGTGTTTTGCATCTATTAAATTAATCTCTATATAATATTCAATCTCCACAAATGACAGTTCTTTTTACGAAAGAAATATTTTGGGGCTCTACGGATTTAGAATTTCGTTGTCAATTAAATCAAAATTGTTTCCATCCCAGAAAATATGATTTAAAATTAACGTCAAATGGTTTTTAAAAATAATATATATTTGCCTTTTTAAGATAGCGGATAAAACGATTATCAACGCGATTTTAATTAATCGTATTGTAAAACGTATTTATATTTATTACCAGAATACCAGATTAAACCAGAATTATTTATAGACAATCATATATCATTGTTCTGCACATTACATATATTGTATTTACATGACGCAATCAAATCAATAATAGTTTTAAATACGATGTCAAGGAAACTATTTAAGATCTAATTGGAATCAATTGACTAAAATTAATCGAGTGTATATTCAAAGAGGTCGAGCAAATCTAAGTCGTCAATTTCCCTTTTATAAATATACTATCTCTTATTTTAATCGTTTGAATTTTAAATAGCTCATCGCATTTTATTTCAATAACTTTGCTCTTTCGCGAATTAGCGAATTGGTGATCCAACTAATAAAGTGTCGATAAATATAAAAATAAAAGAGCTTTTTTAACAATTCTTTACACATGAAAATTTTTTATGTTTTTATAAATTAATAAATTTTATCTCGAAACTCAGGAATATTCTTGAAAATTAAAACTAAATTAGCTTTTCAAATTCTAATCAAAATTAATAATAATAACTTTTTATTTAAATTATATATATATAATATACATACAGCCTTGGCCAAAATATAAAGCATTTATTTTTAATTACAATAACAATTAAACAAAATAGAGTTGTGAAACAAAAATAGTTATAAAAAATTTACCATATATTTTTCAGAAATTCAGTATTGACATCTATTTTTCATTTCACAACTATTTTGTTTAATTGTTACTACAATTAAAAATAGGCGCTTTATACTTTTTGCTAAAATTTCATAGGTATACATATGTACCATACATGTGTATATATTTATCGATAAATATTGTTTTATTGAAATAGAAAAGTTATATCAATTTTCATGTAAAATAAAAACAATGTTGACATCCCCCGTTTTCAGGAATCCATCATATTTTTACATTTAATCGTCAAACTTTTTCGATCATATTAGAAATTCTGAAACTTTTTGAAGAAGATTCGGAACCTTAAATTTAAAAAACGGGTTACTAAACTTCACTTCAGAAGATCCGAGATTATAAGTGAGACTGGGAGTAAAAAAACTGCTGTTACGTCACCCATCCCGATTTAATGGAGCGCGTCGACTTGATAACGGCCGTTTCTGGCATCACGTTGCAAGATTTATTAACGACACGAATAACAGGAACTTTGAACGCAATAACGTATTTCCAATAAGCTAATGCGATAAGTC